GCCACAGGGAGACAAACCCCCAGCTCCTCCCACAGCGTGTGCCTGTGTGGGCCTGGGACTGGGCTGTGGGTGGGAGGCTGGACATGATTGTAGGTCAGACAGTGGAGAGCACAGTTTTGTTTTGATGCATCTTTTTTTTCTTTTTTTTTTACACCCTTTCATTCTGACTTAGTGTGAAGTAAAAACGTTCAGAGGAACTGAATGGAGACGCTGCTTGAATGTCATATAATCTATCTATATTTCATAGACAGATTTGATCATATCTGTCTGAACCCGCACATTGCAAAGAAGTATCTACCCCCTTTTAGGTTTATGTTCCTCACATTTAGATGTCTCAAATCACCAAATATTAATATAAATATAATCAGAGTAAATGCAGAAAGTCTATAAGTTAGACTTTAAATTGAATCAGCCAAACAGTCAAGATTATTTGTTGTAGATTTAAGGGACAAGTGCTTTACATCGTGAAAACATAAAAAAACAAACAAATAAAAAAGATTACAAACGCATCACACAGTCAACAGCTGTGAAAACCATTACTTTTCAATAGCGTTGACATTTTGTCAAGTGCTATTGTCAAAATTACTGATCAACATCAAATATGTTAATCAGTGTTCCATTTATTTTGGTTCAAAAACAACTCCAACAATTAGGTTTTTAGCCTTGATTTAAAGGAACTCAGTGTTTCGGATGTTTTGCAGTTTTCTGGAGCTTTGTTCCAGATTTCAAGTGCATAGAAGCTGAATGAATGCTGCGTCTCCGTGTTATTTATAAAGACAAAATAGTCTTGGACCTACGTGGAAAAAATAAATTCAAAAACAGATGAGCAATAAAGTCACAGACATCTGGAAAGTGTGGAAATTGTGGCTGGGCCATTTCTAAGGCTTTAGGACTCCTGTTCAAAACTCTGGGAGACCAAAATAGATTAACATTGAGTGAAAACATCTTGATGGTTCTGGGGGAGTTTTGGAAAAATATTTTGTAAACTGATGAGACAACAGAAGTTCAAGGGAGGTGCGTGTCTCTCGTTATATCTGGTGCAGCAAAGCATTTTAGGAAACATCATAAATATTACACAAAATACGAGTCAGACAGTGTGGACCTGGATGACTTCTTTTCCCTTCAATCCTTCATGAATGATTCTGTCATTTGACAACTGCATTTTGATAACTTTGTCTGATATTGAAATTTGTTTGGTGATCTGTGATAGTTATGCAAAAGAAGAAGAACCATTTTAGAAAACAGCATCATATTATTTACTCCTTTTGAGAAAACTGCATTATAAAAAACATATGTATTTCGACAGAGAAAAATCTTTTTTAAGGATAAGAGGCCTGAGCAAGCTGAAGTTGTTCAGTATTAATCGGACTGTTCTGTCACAAACTCTAACATTTAACAAGCTAGTGGAGGAATGTGGAGTCCTGAATGAACACCTCTGTTTTCTTTCCACCTTTTGACTTTGAGGTGAATTTTCTGGGAAGTTCATTTCTGGGACAGTGGACTATTGTTCTACTTTTCTTTTTTTACTAGTGAAAAATAATTTTCTCTGTAGAATGAATGTCTTTAAATTGTTCTGAAAAGACTTTGCAACCCAAATTGGAACGTATGTTGTGCTGGCTTGACCCTCACAAATGCACCATCAAACACATCTATCTTGATTATCAGGAAATAATAGTCAGATAGTTCAGTCTATGCCTAATTGGTGAAGACAGAGGAAAATAAAACTTCTATAAAATGGAATAAAAGCAAACATTTATACAAGCATTTATAAATGTCAGGCAGGATCCCTGCCAAAGCTGGTGATGGAGGTGCAGAAACCACTCCTATCGGTTAGAATAAGACAACAACATCTTTGTGCGGATGTGAACGTGCTGTGGTAGCACAGTCTGGAGAATTGAAGCGATTCAACGGATCATTGTCAGGAAACTCCAACATGGTTTTTCAGCTTTTGTGTCCTGGTTCTTAGAATCGTTCAACGGTTTAACATCGCGGTTTTAAATAAAATAGAGCAGGATAAAAACATTTGTCTAAAGTGATCTACCAGGAAGACTCTTTATCACACAGTTTTTTCACAGCCTTTTGACTTTGTGATAATGAATGAAAACAGGATGCAGCACCATTGTGCCTCGCTTTGTGTTGGATAACAGCTCAGAAATATTCTTTCTTTCAGAGGTTTGTATTGATGTGTCTGCAGCTGGTTGGCCGTTGGCACCATCTGCCTCCGTAAGAGCAAGAAACAAGATGAGACATGAAGGATAGAGCGTCTCATACCTGAACTTCACTCAGATGAGATGATGATTATTGACGATAATGACTTCCCTTCAGGCTCTTTTCTCCTGGGAGCTTGTGAGTATATCTATGGTGGCAGGGCCGCCATTGTGTCTGCATGCAGCGGCTTTACATCGTACAGGAGGGAACCAAACATGTCAAATCCCTTTATAACTTGTGGTGAGAGTGAAAGGTCTGAGGAAAATGTCTGTCTGTCTGGTATTCAGAAGAGCTTGAAAAAGAGATGAAAAGTTTTGGGTGTTGGTGGTTTTATCCGTTTATCATGTCACTCTTTTGTAGTTTTAGCCGCTTTGTCCATGACTTTTTCCAAGCAAACCTCCATTTGATGTTTCCGTGTCCAACACAGATTAATTCATAACCATCTGGGAGAAAAGTTTCGGCACCTCTCTGACAACCAAAGATATCATCTTATGGTTTGCTGTAGGAAAAATGTGACTGAATATTCTCTACCAGCAGAAGATTTCTCACACTTATTTTCTTGAGCAGGGGTAAATAATCTGTCATATTTAGTTAAAGTGACAAGGTCCAAACTGGGATTGATTAATTAATAGGAATTTGTTGAAGTCATCATCAAATCTAATTTAATTTAGCTTGGCTGACAACTGCAGCTGCATGGCGGAGCTTTGTGGAAAAGGCGGAGCTTTGTGGAAAAGGCAGAGCTTTGTGGAAAAGGCGGAGCTTTGTGGAAAAGGCAGAGCTTTGTGGAAAAGGCAGAGCTTTGTGGAAAAGGTGGAGCTTTGTGGAAAAGGCGGAGCTGTGTGGAAAAGGTGGAGCTTTGTGGAAAAGGTGGAGCTTTGTGAAAGCAGGCGTTTAGGCACCCGAGGTGGTTGCTGGGGGAGATCAAAGGATTCCTCAAACTTTTATGGAAGAATAAAATCAACAGTCCACAAATGTTTTTGAGGAAAGGAACGATGTTATCAGATGAAGTAAATCTAAAAATAGTTTATTTTACATAATTTCGTCCCTTTAAAAACCAGAGAGCCTGGAGAACAACTGACAGAAATATAAAGAATAAAGGTTCAATTATATTTATCTTCTAAATAATTTAGATGTAAATTTTCTCTACAGTCAATTTAAGATGATAGCAAAGCTTTTGATTTTTTTCAGACTTGTGGAAACTTGCGGTGCTGTAGATCACCGTCAGCGTTAGAATCCTACTGCAGATGATGTTTGTGTTAAAGATCCAAAGCGGGAAAAACTGACTTCATACCAGTCAGTGTGCTTTCCCTGTTTTATTTGTTCACATACAAAGAAATAACTCACACAGATGGACAGACACGCATTTGCTCTGCTTCCTTCTGCCCTATTGACCTCTGACCTCTAACTACTTCCTGGCTGACTCCGTGCAGGTGCTGGGCTGAGCTGTAAATGGTCAGGTGATGGGGTCGGTCCTGAAACACCATTCTGTGCTGCCAAAGCCATTAGGAAGGAGGAAGACCCCCACTGAGGGCAGGTCAGAGGTCGTGGGGGTAAAGAGCAGACAGGAAGGCTTTAATGTTCACATCTGGGTCTGCACTTGTTCAGAGATAAAGATATCTACACTGACTGCTGCAGTTAGATGCCTCGACACAAAGAAGCCCCTCTTGTAATCCTGTTTATGAACGATGATGTTCAGAGAAATGTTCTGTGGCGTCCTGAAGAGGATTAGGCCGTTTTATAGGAACGAAGTAGAATGATTTAGTAAAATGTGAACAAAACAAAATGAAAACCTTTGAATCAAGTTTTTGCCTTGTAAAAATAAACAGCTAAGGTAATTTTTGTCTATTTAAATATTTAAAGAGGCACTATTATGCTTTCCATGCACATAGTTCCATTTTATAGCACAATTAAGTAATTATGTTAATCCCAGTTGTTATAAAAATTCTGTTTATATCGAATATTACTTAAAAGAAATTTGACTTTGTAATTTAACACCTTGAAATTGAGCCTCTGTCTCTATAAATTTGTTTTTACCAGTGTTGCTCTGAGAAATAGATCCTATAAAGAGTTTAGAAGATGCCCAGTTCCACCAGCTATTTGCTAATTGCTGCCGGCTAGTCTGAAGGAGCTGAGTGAGCAAGCAAACATGGCTACAAGAAAGATTCATCATAAAATTAAGAAAAAATGGACAACCCTGACCACTCCCTCTTTATAAGACTGTCAGAAAATTAGTGTCTTTGATCAGAAGCTTCTTCAAACTCATTGTAATACAGATTGCTACAGGAAATCTTTCCCGCCCACAGCCGTCACTTTCTACAATAACTGAATAATTTGAATTCATGAGATACAACAGCATTTCATTTTCCTCTGAGACAAATGAAGCATTTTTGAATCAAAATGAATTTATTTGAACAAATACGGTACTGATGTCATATTTCAGGAAATATATATATAAAAAAATAATAATAATTTTGTTTTAAAACGCAACTTTTAACATTCTTTTAAGTTTTAAACCATCTTAAAATGTTCTTGGTTTTTAAATCAGTTCTTGTGACTGACTGTTTGATTTATATATATATATATATATATATATATAATATATATATATATATATATATATATATATATATATATATATATATATATATATATATATATATATATATATATATATATATATATATATATATATATATATATATATATATATATATATTTTTTTTTTTTATGGAAAATGGTCAAATGGCTAAACGAAGAGACAAACAAATGGAGTCAGAAGAAGTCAAAAGAGGAGACAAGGTCCTTAAAAACCTTTTGTTCAGACCTGCTGAAGACTTAAATATCATTTTAAACCATGTGTCCAGATCACAATGAAATTCCATCCAGAAAACAATACCATTTTAAGTAGTTTATTAAAAAATACAATTTGAAACAGCATAGAAGCATTACATTATATAATGTTAACTGTAAAAGGTCGTACCAGTTTAAGTCTAATATTTTGCAATACCTTGCTAAATAATTCTTAACGTTTCACTATTTTTTGCATTTTGCCTTGTTACAACCACAGGATCGTAAGATTTTATTTGGATTTTATGTATCTGACCGACACAGTATGGCAGAACTACAAAGAAGAAGACGTACGTTATATATAAGAATATGAAACATGTGGCTTGCATTCAGTAAACAGACCATTTTACTCTCATTCCCCTAAATAAAATCTATCAAAGCACACTGGAAAAGAGAACAGAGTTCCAACTTAAAAACAATACGTGTTATTTTGTCACATGTCATTGTGTTAAGCTTGTCAGACTTACTTTATTTGCATTTGTTTCACATGAATAAATGTCATAATTTACTTAGATAAACTTTCCTTGATTACTTCTGACCAGTTGTCATCTGTTTTCTTTTTTCAGTCTATTATTTTCCAAACAAGAACGAGCAGAAATGTTTCTAACTGTGCAAAGGTTTGAAGCTGCAACTCAGGAGGGCTGAATATATGTGTATGCCACACTTATCAGAGTTTACAAGTAAAAGAAAACAAACTGATATCCTTCTACTTCACAATTATTACTTGTGTTGGTGTATCATGTAAAGTCCTGATAAAAAAATCATAATGCAGACAGATACGGATGTTATTGCAAGGCCCCATATGGAGAGAAAATGTGACTTGGAATGAAAAGAAACAAAACTCACGTGAAAAACAAAACCGACTTCTAAAAAAATCACTGTAATTTGTATTAGTTTTGCTCAAGCTAATTCAGATTTGAATAATTCTGAAATCAGAATTATACCTTGAGCACAACTGTTACAATTTGCTGTAACATTTTTTTTAAAGCTGGTATAAAAAAAATCCTATTTTTCATTGTGACACTGAATACACTTCAGTTTAAGAAAAGGAATTCCAACTGGATTCAAGACACTAGATAGAGATGTGAATGAATGAATGAATGAATGAATGATGTGTCGTCCTCAGGTCTGTCCTGCTAGCAGTCCTCGCTCTGCAGCATGGACATGAAGAACGCGCACACGCTGGCCCAGGAGCTGCAGAACTCCTCCGCTGTTCTCCGCTGATCCGCGCGCTTTACGCACGTCGCGCTCGTGGCCTGGACCGGCGGCGGCAGCTGCGTGGTGGGAGCAGCGGTGCTTCTTTTCACGCTGTTCCGATCCAGTCTGAGGTTCGCATCTCTGGGCGCGTGCTTACACATGCCGGCTTTCACCAGCGCGCGGCTGTCCACGCACACCTTATCCCGCATCTTCTTGAAGGCGCGCGCCACTTGTTTCCAGAAGACTTTGGGGTCGGAGTTGTAACCCGGACAGCTCCGAGGTCTACCGAGGTACTCGCAGCTGGTCTTGCTGACGCCGCCCTTCCTCTCGCAGTTCACCCAGACCTTCACCGCTTCCCCCGCTTCTCCCGCGCGCCACGCGCACCGCGTCCTGTCGCTGGTGACGAATGTCCCTCCGCCGACCTGCTGCGCGACGCCGGGCTGCTCGGCGCCAGAAGCCCGGAAGGGTCTGAGCTTCAGGAGAACCAGAAACAGCCCGATGGAGAAGAGAGACCTGAGCGGAAACATCACTGCTTTCAGCAGAAAACTAAAAAACAAAATACAAAATCCACCTGGAAATGAAAGAGAAACAGGTGATGATGCACCACCTCTGAGCTGAAGGATACTTTATTTGAGTGATAGAAAATAATATCGGTTCTGATTCAAAAACTAAGACATCTTTGCCTCAAAACCTGAAAACCATCAAGTTCCAAATTTTCCATATTTATATTTTAATAGCTTCAGTCAATTTACTGTCTGTGTTTCAAGCTTAATGGAAACATAATACTAAATAAATTTTTAATATGAAATAATGTTTGAGTACATATGGTATTAGATGAACACCAAAAACCTCTTCATTGAGATAAAAAATGTGTTTTAATCCATCCTGCAAACGCTTTTAAGCGTCTGAAATATTTTTTTTCAGTATGAAACCTTACAGTCAGTGGGATCACATGTAAAGTACTGAATCTCACCAGAATGAAGAGTGCCGCCCTGCGTAAATCCCTCGTGCTGTGTGTCTCCGTGGCCCGGCGCGTGGTTTTCATGCCTCGCTGTGCAGCACGCCCCCCGTTCAGCACATCCACTCTCATGTTCGCAGGCAAATACTTTGAAAAGAAGCCTGGCACCAGTTTCTGATGAATAGCTCTGGCCTGGGGCCGAGACGACGTGTCTACATGTGAATTCAAGCCTGGTGAAGATCAAGACAGAGCGCGAACCGAAGCTGTCAACACACACACACACACACACACACACACACACACACACACACACACACACACACACACACACACACACACACACACACACACACACACACACACACGTGGGTTTTGAGCTCTGGTCATTTCCACTCATGCACATGGAGAACATGCAAACCCAGACCGGGATTCAAACCCAAGACTTTATTGCTGCAAGGCAGCAGCACTACCAACTGTGCAGCCCTGATGTTTTATTTTTGCTATTTTATTCATGAAATTTATTTTTCATTGACACCAAAGGAGAATTTAAATCTAAATCAACACAGCTAACCCTGTCTTTTTTCATTAATGTGTAAAAACTTTTGCTTTACCTGTGATCAGAGGCCTGCAGGGTCAGTTAGAGAGCAGAAGCTTTTGGAGACCTGCTGGTGTACGGAGGACCAACGCTGACAAAATTCAAAAATAAAAGCAGAGACACACACAAAATGAACCTATTATTTTTAAAAAAGCAGAACTTTTCCTCCTGTTTTATAATTTAATTGAACTTCATGATTATTTTTTTCCATTTTAATTCTAACAACTTATATATTTAGGACCATAATATAAATGTAACTGAACTAATATTCAGTTAAAAAAGGCACTAAAAATGAATGCCAATTAGAACATGATGTAAAGTTTTATTTATTTTTTAAATCAATTGCTGCTTAATTGATGGTGGCAAAAGTGTGTGGAGTTCATTTTGAAATTCAGATGAAAGTTTATTCTGAAATCCAGGGACACAATGGCAAGACATTGTGTCTTGCCTTTGGGCAAGACATTTCACCTACTTTCCTGCTGGTAGTGGTCAGAAGGACAACAGGGGAGCTGTGGCTACTATCCGCAGCCACATGTATGTGAGAATGTGTACATGAATGACTTTCAAGTCATCTGGACTCGATAAAGTCCAGAAGACTAGCACAAGTCCAAGATATTTACCATTTTAGGTGTTTTGGTTTATTTATTGGATCATCTTATGTATTTCTGATTTAGTATTTCATGAAGTCAAATTTGGTTTTCCATATGGGTCTGGAAAGTTGCTAAATATAGCTATAAGTGGACAACTTGGCAAAAGTGTTTTATTGTTTTTTTTTTTTGTCCTGATCAAACTTGGCCATGCCTCTCATTGTCTCTTGACTCCGTCCACTTTGCTGGATTTTTTCCCCTAAATTTGTCAGGGGTTAGTAACACTTTAATTATTTATGTCTTTTTCTCCATGTCTTGTTACAATTTATCGAGACTGATTGTAACTGAGTGTGTGTCACTGGGAAAAATCTTCTCAGTGATTTTTACAGAGAATGTTTGCAAAAATGAAGGATTGAGATGGCACCAGAATGTAAAGATATCAATTTTAACTCCACAAACCCTGCGCTGTCCCTTTCAGCTAAAGGCTGACATCTATAGTCCTCTAGGTGCTGTTGTGTAATTTTTGGATGCATTGCTGCCCCAAAACACTGGAATCAAAAACCTGTTTTACCTCCTTGGCAAGTTTAGCAAATGCCTTGTCATCAACAATCCTCCAACCTCTAAAACACAAACAGTATTTCTCAGCAATGAGTCCCGACAATGTGTATTTTCCTGATAGATGTATCAGAAAAATGGTCCTCAAAATGTATCAAATACATGGCACACACACTCACACACGTCAAAGTTCTTCCTAGAATCAAAGTTCAGCTTCTGCTGTTGAACTTTGTCAGTGCATTTTTTTTTCTTCCCCTCACCTTCAGATCTATGAGTTTAAAAGCAGGTCTAACAACTCGTTGCAACTTGTTATATTTAGAACAGAGTTCAGTTTCACTTTGGAGGAAGTGAAACTGAAGTCATTCTCACTGTGAGGAGCGATGGCGCAGACAGGAGTTCAGTTGTATCGGGAAAGGTTCTCCTGTTCCATCTGTTTGGATCTACTGAAGGATCCGGTCACTACATCCTGTGGACACAGCTACTGCATGAGATGTATTAAAGACCACTGGGACGAAGAGAACCAGAAAGGAACCCACAGCTGTCCTCAGTGCAGGAAAACTTTCAATCGCAGACCTGACCTCCAGAAAAACACCCTCTTAGCAGAGTTAGTGGAGGAACTGAAGAAGACTGGACTCCGACATGCTCCGGCTGACCACTGTTATGCTGGACCTGGAGATGTGGCCTGTGATGTCTGCACTGGGAGGAAGATGAAAGCTGTCAAGTCCTGTCTGGTTTGTTTGGCCTCCTACTGTGAGGATCATCTTCAACCTCACTATGAAGCTCATGCTTTTAAGAAACATAAACTTGTTAAACCTTCTGCTGAACTTCAGAGAAACCTCTGCAGTCGTCATGACGAGGTGATGAAGATCTTCTGTCGTACCGATCAGCAGTCCATCTGTTACCTCTGCACTATGGATGAACATAAAGGCCATGAAACAGTGTCAGCTGCAGCAGAAAGGACTGAGAAGCAGAAGGAGCTCCAGGTGAGGCGACAACAAATCCAGCAGAGAATCCAGAACAGAGAGAAAGATGTGAAGCTGCTTCAACAGGAAGTGGAGGTCATCAGTGTCTCTGCTGATAACACAGTGGAGAACAGCGAGAAGATCTTCACTGAACTGATGCTTCTCCTCCAGAAAAGAAGCTGTGAGGTGAAGCAGCAGATTAGATCCCAGCAGGAAACTGAAGTGAGGCGAGTTAAAGATGTTCAGGAGAAGCTGCAGCAGGAGATCACTGAGAGCTGAAGAGGAAGACGCTGAGCTGGAGCAGCTCTCACACACAGAGGATCACACCCAGTTTCTCCTCCACTACCCCTCACTGCCAGCACTCAGTGGCTCTACACACTCATCCATCATCGACAATCGTCCTCCCAGACACTTTGAGGACGTGACAGCAGCCGTGTCAGAGCTCAGAGACAAACTACAGGACGTCCTCAGGGACATGCGGACGAATGTCCCACTGACAGTCCCCCTGGTGGATGCCCTCCTGTCAAAACCAGAACCTAAGACCGGAACTGACTTCTTGAAATATTCAAAAAGAATCACCATGGACCCAAACACAGCAAACACACATATATTATTATCTGAGGGAAACAAGAAAACAACTATGATGGAGGAATCGCAGTTTTATGGTCATCATCCAGACAGATTCAGTTATTTTCAGGTCCTGAGCAGAGAGAGTCTGACTGGCCGCTGTTACTGGGAGGTGGAGTGGAGCGGGAGGAGAGTTGATGTAGCAGTTTCATACAAGAGCATCAGGAGGTCAGGACAAGAATGTGAGTTTCGAAGCAATGACAAATGTTGGTCATTATATTGTTCCACAGACTGGTGCACATGTTGGCACAACAGTGTTGGAAATCTAATATTAGGTCCGGTTTCGTCCAGAATAGGAGTGTACCTGGATCACAGAGCCGGTGTTCTGTCTTTCTACCGCGTGTCGAGAACCATGACTCTCCTCCACAGAGTCCAGACCTGCTTCACTCAGCCGCTGCATGCTGGAGTTGGGTTTTATGATACTGGAGACTCTGTCAGCTTTATTGAACTGTAACAATAAGAACTTCAATAAGTTGTTTAATGCTGAGGTCAGCGATTGGAGATCCAACTGGTTACAATGTGTTTCTTAGTCGCCATCAATGTTGCTAAGCACTCACTGTTGGGTCATTTCCTCTCTGCTCAGAGGAAATGAGCAGCCAGTGCTTCTTTAAGGAGTTACGTTTTGTGCTTCAGTTGTTTTGTTTATGGCAGGTTTAGAGTGAGTGCTGCCCCGTCCTGTTTCTGTTCAGCCATAGAGGCTACCACTGCTCAGGAGGGTTTTATTCACCCCAAAAATTCAAATTGATTCTGACAAAATCCTTTATTGGAAAAAATAATAAATAAAATTGCTTCTATGACCATTATGGTAATTTGAAAATAGAAAATAATAATTAAATTCTCTGCATTTATTGTATTTTTCATTAATTCATTGTATAAGGGTTCTTTGATTTTAATATAATTACTTGTCTTGTCTTGCAGATAAAAACAAACACAGGTTGTTTGTCGCTGTTTAGGCATTTGTGCTACTAAAATGGCCATATTACAACAAGCAAACACTCTTAAATGTAAAATTACATGTATTTTTGTTTTCCCAAATTATTGCAGGAGATATTTGGTTGTTCAAATGTGTTTTTTCTGACTTGTTAAATATGGAGCAAAATTCAATACACCCATACTCAAAACATGTACTATTTTTGTTACTGTTGTGTGCCTTTTAAAATTATTTTCTTAAAATGTTCAATAAAGAGAAAAGAAAACATTGCCGTATTTGCATTTTTTAATGCAGCGACGATTGGTGGGTAATAAACTTCACCAAAGCCCAGGGTAGATGGAGAAAGGTCCAGTTGCAGCCGCAGCCAACGAGAAAACACCACAATGTCCAACTTGCGCCAGGGGGCGCCCCACATCGCCCCCTGGCGTCTCAAAGACGCCATTAATTTAAACCATTGACTGAAGTCACAACTCCTGCAGATTCTCCATGGATTCTCAGAAAAGCCCATGGAGGTTATTAATATCTATAAACTAAAAACATAAATTCTACACATTTGAATCGGCGTTTCAGAACATTTTAGGACAAACTAAACAAATTATTTTTGTTTGTTGTGGTTTATCAAATTATTTTAATTCTATAATCTTTTTGTTTTTAACTGCATTTTGAATATTGTTTCAATTCATCTTATTTATCTTTTTTAAAATTTTTATTTATTCTAGATTTCATAATAAGATGTTAATTCTCATTGAAGTTATGATTAATGTAGGAGGAGACAAATACTGTTTTGTTTCTTCAGTTTATATTTAAAATGGAGCTTTGATTTTTGATCAAAGCTGCCAGATTTTCTTAGTTTCTGATTTTTTTTTACACACTTCAGTTCTTCATATGATTAACCAAATTTCAATAATAATAAATAAATAAATAAATAAATAAATAAATAAAATGCAGTTTCCGAATGACTATTTCACTTAAGGGGAAAAAATACATCCAATCCCACTTGGCCCTGCGTGAAAAAGTCATCACCAATTCACTCATACACATTCCCTAGTTTAATCACATTTATTAGAAAGTTATCAGGCCTGATTACTGAGTAAAATCTCCTGATGTAAACTGTTCTTTTCCCACATAGAAATGTTATTGTGAATTTCACTTAACTCTTAGAGATTTCACAACCATTAAATATTTTATTCATACAGTAATATCAATGGTCAAGAAGAAACAAATATATGTGCTGCTGATCTTAAAGGTGAAGTGACAGCCTCCACAAGGTAGCACAAACTGCTAAAGTCAATAAAGCAAAAATTAGCATCACATGAATATAATACCCAAAAATGTTCAAATCAATGTTGAATCGGTTATAGGAAAACAAGCAATAAGAAACAACATGCAAACATTAAGATGCACTTAAACTCATCAAAAAATATATTTAAAAAAACAGAAACAAAACATCAATTCTTGTTCACATTGAACAAAACCTCACTGGAACACAGTAAAGAGTCTGCTGGCGAACTCTCATATAGCAAATTCAATAAATTCATTGTTTGAATCTGAATATGTCTTATGACCATCCCAGCTCCAACAATAATATTTGGTCTGAGAAATCAATAAATAACAGAACTACTTTTAGCTTCGTTGTTAGTTTTCTCTGCTTTAGTTGTATTATCTAAACTAATAAATGAACACAGGTGAATAAAACCCTCCTGGGCAGTGGAAGCCTCCATGGCTGACCACAAACTCTAACTAAACCCAACATAACGAAAGAAGACAAAGTAGCTCCCAAAAGACAACTGATCACTGAGCAGAGAGGAAATGACCAAATAGTGAGCGATTAGCAACAATGATGGAGATTATTATTTATTAATACCTTAATAAATAAAGTATTATTATTATTATTATTATTATTATTATTATTATTATTATTATTATTATTATTATTATTATTATTGCAACCAGCTGGGCCTCTGATCACGTTTGTCTGTTACAGTTCAATAAACTCAACTGAGTCTCCATATCTATAAAACCCAACTCCAGCATGCAGCGGCTGAGTGAAGCAGGTCTGGACTCTGTGGAGGAGAGTCATGGTTTTAGAGACACGGTAGAAAGACAGAACACCGGCTCTGTGATCCAGGTACACTCCTACTCTGGACGAAACCGGAACTGACAGTCGAGTTTCTACTCTGTTGTGAAAAAATATGTAAATTTGTCTGTGACAGTATAATGTCCAAGATTTGTCAGTGTTTCGAAAATCGCTGTCACCTTCCAACCTGCTGATATTCTTGTATGAAACTGCTAAATCGGTTTCCGTCCCGCTCCACTCCACCTCCCAGTAACAGCGGCCAGTCAGACTCTCTCTGCTGAGGATCTGAGTGCAGTGAGTAAATCTGTCTGGATGATCAAAATAAAATTGATCTTCTTCCACAAGAGTCACTTTCTTGTTTCCCTCGGATAACAACAGAAAGTTGTTTGCTGTGTTTGGGTCCATGGTGATTCTTTTTGAATATTTCAAGAAGTCAGTTCTGGTCTTAGGTTCTGGTTCTGACAGGAGAGCATCCACAAGGGGGACTGTCAGTGGGACATTCGTCCGCATGTCCCTGAGGACGTCCCGTAGTTTGTCTCTGAGCTCTGACACGGCTGCTGTCACGTCCTCAAAGTGTCTGGGAGGACGATTGTCGATGATGGATGAGTGTGTAGAGCCACTGAGTGCTGGCAGTGAGGGGTAGTGGAGGAGAAACTGGGTGTGATCCTCTGTGTGTGAGAGCTGCTCCAGCTCAGCGTCTTTCCTCTTCAGCTCAGTGATCTCCTGCTGCAGCTTCTCCTGAACATCTTTAACTCGCCTCACTTCAGTTTCCTGCTGGGATCTGATCTGCTGCTTCACCTCACAGCTTCTTTTCTGGAGGAGAAGCATCAGCTCAGTGAAGATCTTCTCGCTGTTCTCCACTGTGTTATCAGCAGAGACACTGATGACCTCCACTTCCTGTTGAAGCAGCTTCACATCTTTCTCTCTGTTCTGGATTCTCTGCTGGATTTGTTGTCGCCTCACCTGGAGCTCCTTCTGCTTCTCAGTCCTTTCTGCTGCAGCTGACACTGTTTCATGGCCTTTATGTTCATCCATAGTGCAGAGGTAACAGATGGACTGCTGATCGGTACGACAGAAGATCTTCATCACCTCATCATGACGACTGCAGAGGTTCTCCTGGAGCCTCTTCGTTGGGGGGATCAGTTTATGCTTCTTCAAAGGCGGAGCATCATAGTGAGGTTGGATGTCTTTCAGGCAGTAGGAGGTCAAACAGGATAAGCAGGACTTGACAGCTTTCATCTTCCTCCCAGTGCAGAAATCACAAGCCACATCTTCAGGTCCAGCATAGCAGTGGTCAGCCGGAGCATGTCGGAGTCCAGTCTTCTTCAGTTCCTCCACTAACTCTGCTAAGAGGGTGTTTTTCTGGAGGTCAGGTCTGCGATTGAAAGTTTTCCTGCACTGAGGACAGCTGTGGGTTCCTTTCTGGTTCTCTTCGTCCCAGTGGTCTTTAATACAGCTCATGCAGTAGCTGTGTCCACAGGATGTAGTGACCGGATCCTTCAGTAGATTCAAACAGATGGAACAGGAGAACCTTTCCAGATCCAGCTGAACTCCTGCATGCGCCATCGCTCCTCACAGTGAGAATGACTTGCTGAATTTTATTGCCTCAAACATAAAAGCGGACTCTGACCTTTATCACGTGTTGCTATGGTAAACTTTTAGATAAGCTTAAACAAGCAAAGTTGTTGACAAAGGTTGTGTTTCTGCCTGCATTAGTCACAGTAAAAAGGATTTGCCACCTTTGTGAAAAGGCATATACTATCACCTGTTGATAGTTCTCACATTGTTCAACTATTTCTAAATAGTTTTCTGAACAGCTGCTATACAACCCAATCTATTCACAAGGTTTCAAAAGAAAGACAAAGGCAAAAACAAAGCCCTCCATATTGTGTTGCTTTTTATTTAGAGGTATAATGTGGATTAGGGTTTGGTTGTGGTTAGAAATAGACTCATAATGGCTAAGAAAAAATCAGTGGAAATCAATATTGGGTAGGAATACAAACTTTGGAGTGTGTGTGTGTGTGTGTGTGTGTGTGTGTGTGTGTGTGTGTGTGTGTGTGTGTGTGTGTGTGTGTGAGACCTCTGGAGCCTCTACACAGGTCTCCTCTGTTCATCCAAGGTGCCTCTTATGGACTCAGTTGATCAGCCCTCACAGATCCTGGTTCTGCTCAGACACCTTCACTGAATGATTGCGTCTGACCCGCTAACAACTTCCTCGAGCCCGGCGGCCTGCCAGCAGTGGCCATGTTGTCGCAGTGCGCGGCGATGGACACAAAGACGTCTTTGAGAGCATGAGCGTATGCAGCAGGAGCAACAGAGCCACACGGGAGACGGGATGTCGCCACTCTTCTGTTTATTCTTTGCTCAGGATACATGCTGCTGAAACATTGACATGACATCTGGGATGACAGTAGCAACAGAAATACAACAGAAATACACCAAGGCGAGCTTCTCCCTTTGGCTCGTCGTGTTTCTTTCCACATTATTATCATTATTTATTGATAACTCATTTTCAGATGATTTTGTGACGAGAGTTCAAAGACAGGAGTCTGTGTTGTCAGGTTAGTAATTCCAATCTGAAAAAAGGGCAAAGAAGGTCCTTAAAATGAGATTTTGTTCTAATAAAAGTTAAAAAGAGGAGTCTGGTGTTCAACTCAGTGGTGGACAATATCAAAGGACACATGAGTTCTGTATTTAAGTACATTTAGAATATCTCTAATTTACTTGAGTATACATTTTTGGCAAACTTATAACTTTCAACTCCACTATATTTTGAGAAAGCTAGTTGCTTACTCATTCCTCTTTCTTTTTTTTATTTTAATGTTTTTGGCTCAGTGTAGGTTTGTAGTCCGATGTTGTCGTTTTTCTTTACTGAAATGCAATTGGCCACACGCTATGCTCCTTACAAGAAGAACCAATCAGTGTCACTGCTCACACTTTGGATTTAGAATCATGTTATTCTCTCTAAATTTCACCAGCTGACCTGCTTTCATTCAAACAGACCTCAGACTGGAGACGGTTGGAGGAAACAGCGTCACCAAGGAAATATCCAGGTTTGATGTTTGTAGTGCTAAAACAGACAATGGCCATAAAAACAAGGCTAAAATGACTTAACCACACAAATTTTGTCAATAAAAAAAAAACAAAAAACATCTCAATCGTGGGGAGATAAGCATTCTCCTTTTTTTTACAGCTTTTTGTGGCAGAGAGGTTCTACATATCAGTCATTACTTAGTTTCAACAATTTACAAGGCTCTGAATAAGCACTCAGAAAATAACTTGAGTAAACTTTTGATTGAACAACTAGTTCAGTAAGATTTGAACAGGAGTAACCATGTTTTTACTCAAACACTAGAGCTGAGCTGTTTGTCCACCACTGGTTAAACTTTTCTTCTGCCTTCCCCTTCGCCTTAACTTTTCCTTCACTCACCTGAGTTGCATCTCAGTTTTGGAACCAGCCAATGACAAAACTGCAGAGGCCATGGAAGCTCTTCCAGCAGTACTCCATGGCAAGGCGGGATGCCCTAGACGCCGGCTCCTCGGTGGGATGGGAAGTGGTCTTTGCTGGTTTGGGGGTGCTTCTCTTGCCCTGGGAGCTTCTGCCACTTGGAGGTTTATCTGGGTGAGGCTGAGGCTGCGGCTTTGTGGGTTTATGGGTAGCGGTGGGTTTGTTCTGCACTGTTGGCGCTGCTGGTTTGCCTTGCTCCTGACCGGGCTTTTCAGACTTTGGAGCTGAAGTCTTGGGCCAGGAGGTCATAAAGGTCATCTGAGCCTCATCAGAGTACTTTCTGCACATATGAGGGCGGTAGATTTTGGCTCCCTGGCAGGCGTTCTTCAGCTTCCTCAGCTCCCACATCATCTGGATGAAGTAGTGCCGAGGGTTCTTGTTGTAGGCTCCACATTGGTTCGGTTGGCCCTGAAAGTCACAATAGTAGGAGCGCCCTGTAGGCTGGCTCCGGGATCTGCAGGAGACACGCAGACGGGTGAAGTTTCCCGCTCCGGACACCCCCATGGTGCACGAGTCCTTTGCCTTGGTGATGAATCTGATGGTGTTGTCCCAGACACTGGACTGCTGCTGCGGCTGCTTGCTGGCGTTGCTTTGGGCGATGGATCCGCAAACAGCTGCCACCAAAAGCAGCGGCAACATGGCGAGCTTCATCCCGGTCCTCATGGCAAAGCTAGGCTCCTGGCTGCTGCCTGCGGGGCACGGCTCCGTTTGCTCCTAAGGCACGCAAATACAAACTTTTCAAGCTTGACAGATGGTTTTATTCATGATTCAGACGTAAACTCCTCCTCCACTTGCTAAAGTACGTGCGGGACGTTTTAAAAATGATCAACGAGACGGCAGGAAGGGGAAGAGGGCACAGAAACCACAAGAGAAACAGGAGAAGCTGATGAACAGCAAGAGGCATAAGAGAGGCTCACACATGAGGCCAGATGTTAGGAAACAAGAGGACCATTGACCATTGATAAAAAGGAGAGCAGCAGGAAAATGGAACTAAAATCCTGAAAGAATATTTGCCTTCTTCCAGATTTCATCCTTTTTCTTTTTTCTACGTCACGCTCAGGATCTTTAAGATCATCAAATAATATTAATATGAGACCAGATTAACTTGAGCATCTACAAAAGAGAGCATTCCAGTGATTTTATTAAGTGTGTGTGCTGGTAGTGAAACCTTAGCGACTTTTATATCTCCTTCATAGACGGCAGAAGTTCTTGTTTTATCAGTAATGGCAAGTCGCCACACTACCACCATGTTTGATGTTTTAGTTCTGAAACGATTGGCTTAAAAGGTATAAAAGGAAAAATGCATAAAAGACCCCAAAGAATCATGAAAAGTGTCCAGATGTATGTTGGCAAATACTTAATACTCTCCTCAGTTCTTGCCTAAGAATGAGGAAAGTCTCATGCTGACTGTGTAACAGAAGCAAGTGGGGCTGTGCAGAGCTTTTCATGTTGTTGGCCCTAACCCTAACTTTATTTATTGGAATATGAAAACCTTTAAAATGATGTTTCTTAAATGTTTTTGAGCATCTTTAGCTCCGGGCACAAAATGTTGCTTTAACCTGATTTATTTAATCAGACAGGTTCTATTAAAGTAATCCATAGATTTTTCCAAGCCGAGCTGTAATTAGACCTGCTTGTGGTTGGTAAAACAGAAATTGTCCTTCCGGCTAGAAACAAGGACTGTGGAGACGATTTTCCTCATTTGGTTTGAATAACATTTTCTTCTGTTTGTAAATAAAATCATAAATTAAAACTTGATTGTGGATTCAGTCAACAGCTGATGTATGGCTGATGACATGTATGGTTAGTTTCGATTGTGTTTCATCATGTTCTTACAATTAAAAGTTGACTTCATTTTGACAAAGCATCAGTGTAAAAGTGCTAATGAGGTAAAAATGCCTCTGGGCTGTGGAGACCACCAGCTTCACTTTTATCTCATATTTGTTCAACCTTACGACTCTCTTTTGATTTGTGCAGCGATGATTCTCTCAGGGAGTCAGAGAAGTCCAACGTGGGTTTCCAGCAGAACTCCCATCTGGGGATTTTTGTGTCTCCAGACACGAGTCTGACCATAAAGTTTCTGGCTCTGGGAGGCGTCGTGTTTAATTTGGCTTCCAGGGACGGGTTGCTCATTAGTCTTTGAACATGCAGATCCTGACCACCTATGCTGGCCCCTTTACATGTGGTTACACTCTGAAAAGATATTTGCTCTCAGTTGATGTTGGGAACTTATTTAAATTCAGCTCACTTCATTTCTTTGGGTTGGTGATGACAACTTACTTTTATTAGTTCAGTTCACTTAGAAATGTCTTTTTCATCTAAAATGAACTTTTTTTACTATCATTCTAAGTAAAACTATTAAGTTGACTGCAGCTTTGTTGTCCTACGTCTACACAGTCCCCAGAAACAACCACAATGGGACCGCCATTTCTTTTAAAGGGAGAGTATTATGTGCTTTCCAGCCACAGAGTGCCATTTTACAGAACAATCATGTTACCTTCAGTTGTAATAAAAATGCTACACTTAAAAGACATTTTACTTCATACTTTAACGCCTTGAAATTGGGCCTCTGTCTCTTTAAAAACCCCTGCTCTTTCTGAAACTCCGCCTTCAGGAAGTCATCACATGTCCCCTCTATTAACCCTTTAACAACATATTTACCAGTGTTTCACTGAGAAGCAGCTCCTATAATGAGCTCAGCTGATATGCAGTTCCACAAGGTGTTTGCTAATTACTGCTGGCTAGTCTGAAGGAGTTTAGTGGAGGAGTCATGCGAGAGGGCTGCTGTGGGAGGCAGAAGTACAGACACTGCAGCTCTGAGGAGATGCTAGGTGTTTTTCACAGGTCAGTGGTTGCCATGAAGATGAAAGAATTTCTCAAACATGGATCAAAGAATCAAAGCAAAACTCCAGGTATGTTTATGATGAGGGAGTAACATTAGAACATGATGTAAAGCTTAAAAAAGAAGTCAGTTTTACACAACACTCTTTGGGGTGGGAATTTTGTAGTTTTTTTTTAAGAGTTAAAAAAACTCTAAACTTATCTGACCTTGAGAACAGTTGTGACAATTTCTGGTCCACACATTAAAAAGTCAAAAGGAAGAAACACAAAAAGACACAAGTTGGACTCAAGTTTTTATTCACAGATTTGCTCCTTCTGGAGAAACGCCAAAAATGTCTCTTTCGTCCTTAAACCTTGCTGTCATGTCAACAGGGCTTGCCGTAATGGACTAACGTGGGCTACGCTGCCTTTGCACGTTAGCCGTCTAAAAGTACTTACGTAACATCATGGTAAAAAGCAGCACGTGTTAACAACAGCAGCTCTTCTCTCTTATAATGTGATAAACTGGAGCTGCCAATTAACTTGTTCAATATTTAAAGGCATAGTCCAACATTTTGGGGATCCCCTTTTGCTTCCTGGTTGCTTGTGAAAAAAAAAATATGTCCATAGATGTTATAAAAACTTCAACGAATATATCCTTGGTATAATCTCAAATGTAAGATATAATCTCAATTAAAATGTTATACTACAAACTGAAATATACCTTTTGCTAGCAAAGCAGGAGTTTGGTATTTTTTTTGTCAGGACGGACGGGCCAGAGTTTTCTGCAGACATTCATGATGATTAGAAGACAAAGTAAAACTCTGGTTATTAGAAATACTTCACATTAAGCCATTATTAAGTTCATTTTCTATTTTTTGAAGGAGTATATGTTTTATTTTGTTAGTTATCCACTAAAGTGTTTAGTTATTTAGCGAAACATGTTTTACACTTTCCCCTAAACATGTACGCAATCAATCATCCCAAATAATTTGTACTATGGTACAAATATCCACAAAGAAAAAAAACATAAATCTACAAAAAAAAAAAAAAAAAAAAAAAAACCTGACTAACATATAAAACAAAGATTAACAAAAAAATATATAAAACTTTCAAAAGTTTTGAAAGTGTATAAAATGATGACTTTGGTTGTGGTGGTAAAACTGATGTAGGTGCAGCTTATGATGCAGGAACTGAGATTTCTATAGCATGAGAAGCTAAAGGATGCTGGAGCGATCGAGCGAGGACTGAGCAGACGACGGCCGTCAGAGGTCTCTTACGGAGAGCTGGAGGAGCGCCGGGGTGGAGACACCCCACCACACAGATTGTTGGTTTTTATTCCCTTTTTTTGTTCCACTGAAGCTTTGGGTGATTTAAAAGCTGGGAAAATCCCAGAAATCCTGCGAAAAGGATGGAAAGTAGCAACGGGTTAGACGGTTATCAATATGAGGGAATGTTGTAGATGACAAACAAAATAAGGAGTAAATTTTTGTCAAAACATTTGGCACAGAAATTTGCTACACAAGTCAAAATTTTTGAGATTAAGCTCAGAAATTTTTCTGAATCTTTTCATTTTTATTTCTAACAAATCAAACTTTGCTAGAAAAGACTCAAAATTTGAAATTCAATTCAAATATTTTTTAGAAAAAAAATGAAAATTTCTGAGTTTGGAAGGTTGAAAATTTGCTTAAAAAATCTGAAATTTTGAGATATAGCTCAGAATGTTTTTGTTTTTTTTAGGAAAAACAAAAATGTGAAATTTTGGAAATATTTTGATTTTTAAAAGTAAGTCATTTTCTACTTTTGAAACTCAGCTATTGCCTTGTTTTTTTCCCAGAACATTATTGAGCTTATACCCAAAATTTTAGAGGTTCTTGGTGGAGTACTTGTTAATGTTCTCCTTTTTTCTATCTGCAGTGGCCCTGTTGTGATGTTGCACATCCATGTCTAGAAGAAGAGAGTTAAGAAGTGAGCGCTCACCTTTACAGGACTGATCAGTTCCAGTTCTCCTGTCCACTGTGGAGGAAGGAAGGAAACAAAATCAAACCAGATGAAGCACATAAGAAATCCTCAGTTTTGACCTATTTTCACTTTTCCAAATGTTGGAAAAGTCAACTCCTTTCTCCGGTTAGTAGCCAGAACTATGCATTAAATTTACTTTCTTCAGAGCTTTGGAAGAGAGATAAGCTCTTCAACACGTTTTCTAATCAGAATAAACAAACATTTCCTCACTCCTATAATTCTTTATTCGATTCAATATAAACACTTCTTGACTCTTGTTCTTTTCTGTATGACGAAAATATGTAATCATTGGGGAATAAAGACAAATTTGCTCCTTTGTCTTATCTGTGATGAAGAATTAATCCTTGGACTGATTTAGAGTTCGGAGACTGATCGGTTTCAGACTCATTCTGTGATTTATTCCAGTTAAAAGTCTCTGCAGAGTTTTGTGGAACAATAAAGAGAAGCACATAAAGCATTTACTTTGACTCATGATGGCCAAAAAAGGAAAAAAAAAAAAAAAAAAAACGGTGGAAAACTCATCAAAGTGGTCCATGTGAGAAGTGAAAGAAACATTGAGTATTATCATTATAAAACAACTAATTTACAATTTTGCTCAGTAAAAGTTAAGACTCATGATTAATTTCTATGACAAAATCCGATGGAAACTTTGTTTCTCTTCGATTTTCACTTAAAATTTTAAGAAAAGAAAGAATCAAGAGGGCGAGAAGAAGAAATATGATGAAGATGACGATGAAAGATGGATCTGGGCAGCAGGACGAAGCCGAACCAAGGAGGATGGTTTGATGGACAGTCAGTGGAGTTAGTGATGGTCAGACGAAGGGTTTTTGCTGGTCATAAATACCTCTAAAAGGGAAGACACATCCTGCAGGTCACCATTCACTTGGTGGCGCCGAGGCCCGAGGGAACCAAGTCAGTGTGTCATTATAGGGAGCGCTAAACACACACACACACACACCAGGAAGTCTTTATAAATAAATAAAAAAACTTATTTTATTAAACTCTTTCTGATTTGTAGATGAAATTTCCTCCACCGCATGCAGACAAGCGAAGTTTGATTTACAGCACTGCTCATACCTTTCCACTGACATCACACACCTGATCGCCACCATTACCTGTTTTTAGCCCTACTACAACACATGATGAAGGAGGGGTGAAGGTGAGAAGGAAAACCTTCCTGAAGCTAAAGAAAGAGAACTGATCCTGAAGGAAACCAGTGGGAAAAGTATGAAAGGTCCAAAATATCCAAACGGTGAGGATGAAAGGCAAAAGGCATTGAAAAGCTGAGCGACATTAAAGAGTGACAAGCCACGGATAAGAGTATCTGGAGAAAACACCAGGAAAACAAGAGGAGAACCAGCAGTCCAAGAAGAACAAGAAAAAGGAAGAGAACGACGGAGGGAGACAGAAAATATGTCGGGTTAGTTTGGATTTGAGCTCAACCAGAAAACACCCAGAATCTCTGATAGCAGGAATGAAAATATTTTTCCTGTACGGATGAAACCAAAAATCTTTTCTTGCACTCACTCTTCAAAGACGTCCTCTGTGTCCATCCGTCTGTAGTATTTGGCCAGTTTGACGGAAAAGACAATGCTGGGAATCAACAGGATGCAGCAGGCTCCTAAACCCATCCAAAACGTGTTCTGGAAAACAAATCCTGCAGTTAAATAAATGGAGTGACTGGATGGAATGACTGACAGATCCTTAAATAGAGAAAATACAAGTAAATATTCTGAAGACGTTAAACTGAACTTGCTTAGATCATTTAGTGCCTCACTGTATACGGCACAGTTATAATGCAATTTAATCCATCCATCCATCCATCCATCCATCCATCCATCCATCCATCCATCCATCCATCCATCCATCCATCCATCCATCCATATCCATCCATCCATCCATCCATCCATCCATCCATCCATCCATCCATCCATCCATCCATCCATCCATCCATCCATCCAAAGAGTTTAAGACCAGGGCTCGACCAAGGTATGCATTTTAAAACGAATGTTTTTTTAAAAATGCATATCTTACTAGCCTACTGAAGCTAGTGTCTTGTTTATTGAAGCTAGTGTCTCACTGGGTTACTAGCTTGTTAAAGCTAGTAGCCACATGCACTAGTGCATGTTTAAAACAAACTGTTAAAATTGAATTAAAAAAACATCTGTTAGATCTTTGATACAGAAATTTCTTGATGGTACCGTTGATCCCAACCCTGGTGATTTTGTTAAAAGGAAATATTTTTTTAATGTGCAATGAAACCTGAATTCATTCAAACATTTTTCTTCAATAATTATTTTTGTGTCATCAAAAATGATCACTGAGGCCAAATGTCAAACTTTTCCAGACTTTTAATAACTAACTAACTAAACTGCCTCAGGTTAGCTAAAGTGAGAAGTAGACAAGATTAAGTGACAGAGGTAGATTTTTAAACTCTTAAAGTTTGTTGTGTACAAACAACAAACAAATGCATCATTCAGAAACTGCAAAAAGGGATCCTTTTAGTATTTTTTCATGAACTAAATAAAACTTTTGGAGATGCATGATGTTAAAGTTAATAAGTGCTGTAAACATAAAGCTAAAACAGGTCAGAGTGAAAACAAAGAACAGTTTAGGCCCGGTGTGAGCTTCCTGTCCACACAGCCTGCTCCCAAAACACACAGCAGCTCTAAAAGAACCATTGACATCTCTGCAGCTGGCAGCCTGACTTCCTGCAAACACAGAAACACCCACAGTGAGCTCTTACCACTGAGTCAATGATGAAGCTGCAACCCACTATCTCCATGCTGTCCACCATGTTGCTGATGGGTTTACACTGGGCAACCTCTGCAGATAGCTGCAGGGGACAAGGACACACAATACGAGCACAGTTTAGTCCCAGAGTGTTGGGAGCTCTGTTGCTGCTGAAACCAACTTAGATCAACAGATGGAAGTCAATGGACTGGCTGTTATTTGCCAACACCAGAAAATCTTGTTCAAGTGAACCAACTCCAGGAAGTCCATTAGGACTAGCACACTGTAAGGCCAGCTTGGTGTTAACAGTGAGCCTTTGTGCTGCTTTCCTGTCCTGACTGCATCAACTGAAAAGTAAAAATAAACCAGAGAAAAGAGTAGAAAAACACTCACGGAGTTTTTAACCCAGTCAGTGTACTGCCTGAAGTATCCCACCAGGCTGTGAACGAAGGCCTTCGTCTCCTGCAGAGGAGAGCGCATCGTGATCAGACAGAAGTTTCAGCTTTAGACAGCTATTATTTATTCATCTATTTTTATTTTATTTTTTTTTAATTAAAAATAGGTTTTAATAATCGCACTAGGTTACAAATATATTTTTGGGAAGTTATCTATGTTTTTTCAACTGAATAATCTATAAAAATGAAATAGAAGAAATGGCACAAATGTAAAATCTGTTTCTATTTCCAAAGTTTTGCTTTGGTTTGTACCTGTTTCACCACCTGCGAGGCATTTTGAGTGATGAGATATTCTGCTGCATCGATGGCGCTCAGGATGTTCGTGACTTTCATCTGAGGCATAGAGAAGAATCAGTTCATGTGAACAAGATCATTTTTCTGAAAATACATTTTCAGATTTCTATCTGAAAATGGTTTTATTTGGACAGGTTTACTCACAGGCAGGTCGTTGGACATCTTCTGCAGCAGCTTGATGCCCTGGCTCAGGGTGCTCTGCACAACAAGACACAAAAACAAACAGTTTCGTACAGGTCTTGATACTGAAAAATTATTATTGTATATTTTACCTTACGTTTAGAATTCCTAATTGCACATTCTGAACCACTTGAAAGAATATTTGTTGCACTTTATTTTTCCCATGTTTGGTTACGGTAGTCAGCCTGTTGCTTTTGTCAGTTTCAGTTTCTTCATAATTTATTTTATGTCGGCTGCTCTACTTTTTATTGAACTGACTGAACAAATTATAGTTTGACCAAGCTTGTGAAACTGTAGGTGTATTTAAATGTGCAGAGTTATCAAATAAATTAGTATTAAGTAAAATTATATGTGCTTTTTAAAATAGAAAACAATTTAAGTCAATTCAGCATCATTTTTCTGTATTGAATCAGTATCGTTCGATACTGAACCTCAGTTATCGGTATCAGTATTGGTATCGGTATCGGACACGATAAAAGTGGTTCAGTGCATATATAACTGAATCAGGCAAGGACACTGCATACTAATAAAGGGGCAACAAGATGATTATAAACATGTTGCTACTGTCACAGGAACACATGAGCCACGATGTTACAGCAAGCACAGACAGACGGCACCATGCAGCAGCTTACCCGCGCTCGGACATATTTCTGTTACCACAGGAACAGAGAAGGAGGGAAGGAGAAGTTAGAAACTTCAAGGGGTTAGCATTGTAAAGTGACTGCAATGTGTTGGACGAACTTGTGAATAATAAATCAGTAACAATATATATTGCGATCAATAACACATCTGACAGAATATTCAATATATAGAATATTCACTGAACTCCGAGCCAGAACCGCACAGCATTGAGGTGGATGTAGGCAGAGGAAAGGCTTTAGCTGCTCAACCTCTCACAGCGAGCTAAGCAAGGGCGGTGGCACCAACTAACTCAATCGCTCTTTGTTTACCTAGCACCAACCTTACCATGGCTTGCTCCAGGGGCACCACCTGCTCCCTGTGGATGCTTCTGATGCTGCTGGCGTGTCCCTTCAGAGCGTTCTCCAAAGCTCCACGGGGCTTTAAAAACACGATCCACAAATCATTTAGGGTCGTTCAAAAATAAATTGAGTAATTGTTCTTCCTTCACATGTCCTATAGATCTACAGAGATTAGCTTGTTGTATAATGAGAGCAGAGTTATCACCAACTGTGAAGTCAAGACTCACCAGCTGGTCGGCTTGATCCTCCAGATCAGAGCAGAAAGACAGCAGATCCACAATAGTGACTCCCTTATTCACCTGAAAACAGTTTTCTCCTTTCATTTATGACTTCAACAAAAATCCAAATCTTTGTGATCAACAAGAGGAACAAATGAGTCTTTATTTGGCTAACTGTTACTGAGGAAGTGGTTAGTTTGCCTATGTATCTAAATAAAAAAGTTAATTGATGATACTTTACAAAATCATTTTTATTTATCTGTATCTAAATAAAAAAGTTAATTGATGATACTTTATAAAATCATTTTTATTTAGCTGTATCTAAATAAAGTTGCACTATGTGATTTTCATAAAAAATATGCTTGAGGGGGCAATGAGGATGGAGCAGCAGTATGCACAAGGGCATGATTGATAACCCTAAGACCCTCCTCCTGGCTCTGATTGGTTGTATCTAGTTAGCACTGGGAGAAGACAGAGGAGCTTGATTTTTTGTTGTTTTCAATAGGGTTGGTCAGATACATTTATTATTAACAGCATTAAGCTTCTATTTTACTCTCCTAACTTTATCAATAAGTAGCAAGGATACAATTAAATTTAGCCATAAATATGTTGACAGTTATAAAAATGCTGTTTTTCACCTGACAGTGAGACATAATGAAAAAAAGACTAAGTTAACTAGACAGTAATTCTAATACGTTTTCTTTTTTTTACACATAGCTCACCTCAGCCAGGTAAGCCGGATAGTCAATTTCTCCAACTCCTGAATTTGCGAAGTTCATGAGGTTGTCTCTGCCAGCCTGGTCCAACAGCATGATGTCCCTCAGGTCCACCTGGACTCCTTCCAACACTTTGGCCAGATCTCTGTTGTACTGTTGTGAAGCCGACACAGATCATTGCAACTCGGCCCCATCACAGACCCACAAACTGTGAAGTGTCGACACTCACCACAGTCCTGTTTAGGAACGAGTTGATGTTGAAGATGTTCTCCAGCTGCAGAGCGTGATATAGACCGTTGTTCTCATAGCACTCCCTGGTGGAAAAACGCTGTCATTACACACAGGACCTTGGTTTCCATTTTCAGACTTTCAGAGATTTTGAAGATTTCTTGACCAATTTTGTGAGATATTAATGTGCAAAACCAGATTACAGCATCACTTGTTTTATCTGCTAAATAGTACTAATATATCAAACCCACACATTTTTGTTTTACATAAAAAACATTTAAAATCCAGGATTCGAAGGAAAATTAGAGTAGCCATTGAGAAGGAATGTATAATTGTGTTTTAGGGTCGTTGTAAATAGAAAAAAGAGAAAAGTACTAGTACATTTTCCTAGAAAAAAAACCCTGAAATTTTGACATGAACCTCAGAAATGTCTAGAAAACACAAGAATATTTCTGAGTTTCAGAAGTAAAGTTCTGAGAGAAAAAAAATTATATTTTCTAAAGTTTCAAAAGTAAAAATATTTTGACTTTGAAAAATGTCCTCGGTTTGAAAAGTTGAACATTTATGAACTGAAACTTCCCATTTTTCTTAGTCTTTTCTGGAGAATTTCTGAGATTTATCTGTTTTCTTGTAAATTCTTTAGCTTTACAGCTCAGATATGCCCTTGTTTCTTCAGGATTTCACTCAAATGAAAGAAAGGAGCGTTTTCTACACCTGTACATGCTGCCCAGGGTCAAGTCAATGTTTGGATTCTGGAAGAGCATCCCAGGAAGAAAATTACGTTTTTCAGGATGAACCAGGAATGGCGTATCAATAATCTGCACAAACACAAATGTGAACCAACAAAGCAACAATTTAGTCCACTGTGCATCACTATTCTGATCAGATATAAGAAACAGATATGGAAGAAACTCAGGGTTCCTGAAGGGAGATTTCTGTCTTCGGTACCTTGAACAGCTGTCGGTTGGCCAGAGGTTCACATATCAGCTTCTCCACGTTGCCTCCAACAACAAACAGAGTGGTAACGAGACCCATCAGCACCCAGGCAAAGATAAAGGAGAATCCCACGCCTCTGAATGAAAGAAAATCAAAATAACCTCTAAAACACACATTTATAACTTATCAAATTTGTCTGTAATTTGGTTACTAAAAGAGAAAAGGTCAGAAGAAGCAACTGTAATTGTGAACATTTTGGAGGTAATATTACATTTTTGAAAAATATGTTTTATATGTATTATATGTTTTCCAGGCTCCTGGTGGCATTTTATAGCATGATCAATTAACTATGTTAACTTCAGATGTTATTAAGTATGTCAAATATGACTTAAAAGAAATTTGACTTTCTGATTTACAACATTGAAACTGGGTCTCTGTCTCTTTAAGAAAGTCCTGTTCTTTTTGAAATGCTGCCTTCAGAAAGCTATCTCAACAGCTCTCCTCTGTTTACCCTTTTACAATATTTTTACCAGCGTTTTTCTGAGAAGTAGCTCCTACAATGAGCTCAGCAGATGTATACTTCCAATAGGTGTTTGCTCATTTCTGCTGGCTAGTCTGAAGGAGCTTGGAAACTTGGAAACTGCATCTCTGAGGAGCAGCTTCCTCTCAAGGTGTCTAGGCCCACCCAGGAGTTTTGCACAGTTGAATGATTGCTATCTCATCCATTTCTCAAACATGCATGAAATAGTCATGGCAACACTCCTGCTATGTTTCTGAGTAACACTGTAACATGATGTAAAGCTCCAAAAAAGCTCAAAAAAGTTGATTTACTGCTCTCTTAAAGGTAAATGATCACAATCACTTCATAACTCATCTTGATATAAATCTGTTGGTGTGTTGCTATGACAACGTACGCCATCAGCAGGTTTCCGCCGGTGTTGGACAGGCAACCGCGTGTGGTCGGGCTGGCCTGCTTGTCGTAGCCGCAGGTGCCGCAGAGCAGGCCCAGCATGTTGAAGGCCAGAATCAAGACGACAGTGCAGAGAACGGCCACGCAGGCGATCCACCTGCAGCACAGAAACACGTTTAACACGCTTTACTTCCAAAACCAAGAAGCCAGAATATCATCTGAGCCTCAATTGAAAGTTTTACACAAAAACAAAAGACAGAAAAAACTCAAATGTTGAATATAAAGCAATGGTTGATGGGTTACTGCTGTCACTAAGCAAATCAAACCTAGTCTCAGCTAATCAGAATACAAAGACAATCCAGTTCAACATGTCGTGGGATCAAGTTTCACCAACCGGTAGAAATCCATCTGGTCCACCTGGGGGTAAAACGACTCGATGAACTTGTGTCTGTCATTGAGAAAAATGGTGAAATTGGCAAGAGAGGATTCCACTGGGAACATCTTGGAGAAACTGGTGATCTCATTTCCAATCTTATCCAGCATGCTTTTCACTCCTGCAGCAACACACATCGACACAGAGAACCACTTGAAATGAAACACATTTACTGTTCCTCAGGAAGACAAGCTAACACTTCACATCGTCCTGAATACATAATAGTGACAGCATCATGCATTTGAATATGCTTTTTGTCACCAGGGTCAGGGAATCTGATCTGAATGCAGGGCGAGAAGAGAACACAGGTCAATAATAATGTCCCAGAATGGCCCAGTCAAAGTCTTAGGTCTAAATAGGACTTAGTGGCAAGATATTGAAAGATGCTCTCTGTCTAATCTGACTCAGTTTTAGTTGGTCTCTAGTCCCATTGGTAGGTTGATGTTAAAACACAAACAATAAAAAACCCACAAAATAACAGTACATACAATAAAATTCACGTATTTCCATATCATCAATTTTGACATTTTTTTGCTTGTCTTAGTAGCTCTTTATTTCACCCTGAATTGATTCTCTTCATTCTCACACTGAGATTATAAACTCCATCCAATATAGAAAAGTTTTCCAAATATGTATAATTAATTTTAACAGCATCAGAAAAAGAAGAACGCGACTTACGAGGCAGAGCTGTGGTTCGTCATTTAAAGGCATGCATGTGAACGAAGAGAGAAACATTTAGTCAAAGTTCATTTTGATCTCCTTGAACCTCGATCCTCCACCCTCAAACACACAGGGATGTGTGTTTACCTGTGACGATGTTCTTGGTCTGTTCTTTCACCATCGCTGGGGTGTCATTAAAGGAGGCGTAACCCTGCAGGCGTTAAGAAAAGAAGAAGAAAAGAAAAAGGAAAAATGGCATCAGGTCATATACTGAATTGCAGGCCACTGATGGCTCAGACTCAAACAGTTACCTTTTGTACAATGTTGCTGAGATCTATTTTCAGTACAGTGTTTATGTTGGTCAAGGCTTCGTTAACATTTTGAAGCTGAAAGGGAGAACAGAGAAAAAAAAGACATGAGTTAACAGGAGAAATAAAGAATGTTTTTATTGTAATTTTAATGTTACAATGTTTAAAGGGGCAACTTTATGTGCTTTCCAGCCACATACAAACACTTTATAGCACAATCAAGTGCAGTAGCTATGTTACCCCAGTTGTTTATAAAAATGCTGTACATATCTAGTTTGACTTCATCATTTAGTGTCTAGAAATTCTTCTGTCTCTATAAAAACTCCTGCTCTTTCTGAAACTCCATCTTCAGGAATCATCACAACATGGCTCCTCTGTCAACCCTTTCACAAAGTTTTTACCAGCGTTTCACTGAGAAGTAGCTCCTATAATGAGCAGATAAACAGTTCCACCAGGGGTTTGCTAATTGCTGCTGGCTAGTCTGAAGGAGCTGAGTAGGAGAGTCATGAAGGAGGGCTGCTCTGTGAGGCAGAAGCTCTGACACTGCAGGAGAAGCTGCAAGTTGACTATGTCCACCCAGGTGTTTTACAGAGCTGAACGGTTGCCATGGAGATTCAAAGCAACGCTCCAGGTATATTTTCTTGAGGGAAAACATTATAAGATGAGGCAAAGCTCATCAAATAAAGTGCATTTTACACAGTACTGCTCCTTTAATGGACAAGCTCAGCACATATTTCTCATTAAAAAAAATACTTTTTCAGGTTCAAGTGAATCTTTTTACTGCATAAGTACAAAAGTCCACTGTAAACTTATGACATTTTTTACTATAGAAATATGTGAAAATCAGACTGGATCCATGGATGTGATTCCTACATCAGACCAGTTTAAAGCTCCTCTAGTATAAAAGTATTTCTCCTGACCTTGGAGAAGTCGGCGTTGGTTCCGAGCTGAGGCAGGGTGGAGCGGATCGTGTTGCAGGTGGGGGACACGGCTCCGTTGGTGCAGGCCGGGTCCGACAGGGTGTTGGACAGAGAGGAACGCTCCCCGGCCAGGCTGGTCTGGAGCTTTCCCATTCCCTCCTGAAGGATCTCCAGCGCAGAGCTGACGTTCTCCAGAGCTTCTTTGGTTTCCCGCATGGCTAAAAAAAAAAATCAGAGACACAGAACTTAGTCAGAAACTACATTAAGTCATTATTAAACTACACTCAGCACACTGACCACAAAATCCACAACCAAGATATAACACTATACACTGGTTAATATACAGAAATCAGAATATTATTTATTTTATTAATAACATTCTAATTATGCAATTCATATCATCACCTCCCAAAAATAAAGTTTGTTTTTTTCTTTGCCTTTTTTTTTGGCTTAGACCATTAATTTATGAAGGTGCTGATATGTAAAATGAATTACAAACAATTCATTATTTCTAATAATTCTGATAATCATTGTTTATATCTAACAAATCCAAAATCTAGTTTTTAATAAATTTACCACGTCTTCAGTAAAAAACAAAACAAAACAAACAACAACAACAAAAAAAACACACACAGCTAATCACTGACAACTTGCTCTATTAAAGAAGCTTCACAGAAAAATTTAGTGGAAGGAAAAACTTTGATGAAAGGTTGTTGAAACACGACCTTAAGAGGATTGTGAAGCAAATTTCATAATCCAGGCAAAAGGAGCCTCTACCAAGTACAATCCTTTTTGCTCATCTCATTTCATAAAGCTTTACTTTTAGACGTTTACATTTGGATTTTGATTAAGCAATTAAGCAATTATCTTCAAAATTAACAGAAAAATATTTTGTAATTGATCAATTTGACACATAATCACCTTCCTAAAATAATGGCCCATGTCATTTTTTGCCCAAAGACGATTTAGGCAAAAAACAAACAAAAAAAAAAAACTAAAAAGAAAAACAACCTTATTTTAGGAGATGACGATATGGTTTTGTTTTATAAATTGCATTACAAAGTTTTAACGATTTTCTGGGACGTTTTTAGATGCACCTGCAAAACAAACACAAAGACTGCACTGAGGTCTGTTTCTAACACTCCCACAAACACGACACAAACACGACACAAACACGACACAAACACGGCACCACTGGACCCAGATCTGTCTCCTTTACCTTTAATAGCACTCTCAACTTTTGCTTCAGGTTAACAGAAATGAAAAAGGGGAACCATAGAAACAGGGAAGCAAAAACAGCGACGTGAGGATGTGATTGAATGTGATTACTCGTGTTAATAGTCAATAATGTCAGATGAAAATAGATCACCTCCTGCCATTCTGAGGGCGACGTCCAGCGCAGGAACCACCTCTTTCTCCAGATGGCTGTGGATTCTGGCACCCAGCAGAGGTCCGATGTCTGGCATCACAGTATCACACACACACACACACACACACACACACACACACACACACACACACACACACACACACACACACACACACACACACACACACACACACACACACACACACAAACATCCACACGTCAGGTTTATGACAACATAAATATTAAAGCCAGAGATATTACCGTACAAAAAAAATGTTAATAATCTTACTGTCGAGGTCTGACAGGACTTTGTTCTTGGCAGTGGTGTACTGGGCTGTCAGGTAGTCGATTTGCTGCGGGAGGAAACACACAAACAGAAAATATTATTGTCTTACATGAAACTCTCTGTCTGGATGTGTGTGTGTGAGCGAGAGAGAGAATAGGAGAAAGAGAGGGTACCGCTGGGGTGTTGTTAGCAAATGTCTTCAGGTCCCTCATGTTGGTGTTTATGAGTCTTCGGGTGCTTTTGATCTGAGTGCTGATATTATGGTTGGCTGCATAGGCGACAAGAACTCCCAGACTGAAACACACAGATAAAGACTGGGTCAGATATGCAGCGGCCACAATGAACCAGCAGGAGGCAGCATTGCTGCAAAACGCCAACTTCAACTGAAATCCTGCAGCATCAAGCAAACTAATTATCTTTGAAATTACAGAACGTTAATTTCTTGCAAACTAAAAACCTCTTTAAAAAACGTCAGCACAATAAAACGTGGAATTTCCGGTGTTTATTTTTGTGCTGTTAAACTTCAACATTGTTGTTGCAGTTGTGCAGTTTTTTGTTTTGCTTTGTTTGTGCTTTTTCACTTATTTGCAATTTTGAATTTTCTTGGTGAAATTTGTTGGGCTGGTCTGAAATTGTTAGTCTTAATTCTTGAATGAAATCGACTCCTGATATGTTCATGGTACACATGAAAAAAAAAATTACAGAGCTGATGTTGCTTCTGTCCTTCTCTGCTTAAATTTTTGTCCATTTTAAAAAAAATTTTAGATCAAAACTAAACCACTTGCAATTAAAATGATTTTTTTTGCTTGCTCTTTATGGAAAAGCACATAAGAACGTTGGCATCATCCAAGACTTGCAACATGCACAAAGCAGGATTTCAGAGTATTTTTCATGAAAACATTTCCACCTTTTCCAAAGTCAGATTTATCAGTGTCTCTGTCACTTTTTGTACGGCATAAACAACAAAAATATTAGAATATTGCATCCATCTCCGGATCTTTTGTATGTCCTTCGAAAGCTAACAAAATAATCTACATGTACAGTTTTAAATCAACTCTAGAAGAGTAAACATTTTTTCCTAATCCTTTTTATTTCTTCCACATGATTCCAGAGCTAGAAAATGATTCGGTCAAACTTTCCTTTATTTCTACAGTACTGAATGAATAGTATTGAGAGGTGGGATGGAGTAAGGCCAAAAAATAACTGAGAAAAAAGTTCATGAGAGAACAAATGTCCTCTCAGGCTTTCTGTATGAACATGAGCAGGTTTGTGATATGAAAGGCCTCATTCAGAGGGAAACACAAGGACCTCTGCAGTCAGTCAGTAACACAAAGCGATTCTGTAACCCCAAAAACAAACCATCATTCTACTACTACTTCCTGTCGTCTTCTTCATTGTTTTCAGCAGTGGTAACATTGGGCTGTTGATCATATGACTTTTATGATTTGAAAAATTATTTTTTTGTTGAAGTTTGGACAGTGACAGACACTGATAAATCTGACTTTGGAAAAGGTGGAAATGTTTTCATGAAAAATACCCTGAAATCCTGCTTTGTGCATGTTGCAAGTCTTGGATGATGCCAACGTTCTTATGTGCTTTTCCATAAAGAACAAGCAAAAAAATCATTTTAATTGCAAGTGGTTTAGTTTTGATCTAAAATTGTTTTAAAATGGACAAAAATTTAAGTCAATATGGCTGATTTTGCATATCTTTCGTAGTGCAAAATTGTGAGTTTTATTTTTTTTTTAATCGACGTGTTTCCATTAAGCAAATTTGTTTTCAAAAGTTCAACTTGCACAGTTCTGTGGTTCATGGAATTCAGGTTCATGGAGGATGGTTTAATGTAGGCAGTTTTACATATGAGTCATATTCCTTCCATGTGTTGATGATGAATTCAACTGAATTCCAGTGATATTCAGTACCTCAGAGATGCTTTGTATCCATCCAATGACTGATGCTTTTAAACAACCTCTCCTCTAATTAGTTGGAGTGTTCTTCAGTCTTCACGGTGCAATGCTGCCTGGAATACTAATACTTATGCTAAAATTACTGGAGACACTAACTTTAAAGCAGGTGAATATTTATGCAGTCTCTTAAATATTGTCATTGTTTTGTAGAAATCAGTTTCACTTCGACAGTATAGGAAGATTTTTCTTGTTAATCTTTTTCGTCACAAAAGCAAAATTTTGTTTCTCACGACTATATGTAAAAGCAATAAAAAGGGATGTGAAAAATGGTCAGACGTTTCTGGCGGATAATGTATTAGAGGCAGCGAAAAACTTGAATGCAGATTTTATTTTCAGCAAGATAATGACTTTGAACAGACATACACCAGTTAGAAGCTACAATAAAATGGTTGACATAAAAACCTATTCATTTGCTAGAATTCCCCAGGAAAACTGTTCTGTGATTTCTTTGCTGAAGAAACTGAACACAAATATACATCTACACTTTTATGGGTTGTAAAAAAAAAACCCTTTAAAAACCATGAATCATTTCTCAACCACCGCATGCACTACTTTGAGTTGGTCTGTCAGTGTAAATCCCCAAAAAATAAACTGAAGTTGGTGGTCTTAATGTGACAAGACTCAAAAGCTCTTCCTCTTCACTAAATCTCATGAAGAGGTGAAATAACTGCCTGTTGAACAGAGGAGGAGGAGGAGCACTCACATGATGAAAATGGTGGTGGCGATGAGTGAGGCGGTGAAGAATCCTCGGTGACAGTCCGCGTTCTTCCTCTGCCTCTGATGCATCTCACCGCCACAGTTGTCGCAGCATCGACACATGCAGAAGCAGGTGGCGACGATCGGCGTGAGGACCACGAACAGGATTCCAAAGACGGCGCAGATCAGGAATCCAGACTCATAGTGGATCCACTGCAGAGGGACAAGATGGTTCAGCAGACTGCGACTATGGGTGAAATCTGAGGAGTGAAAGGGTTTACCTGTAGCAACAGGACAACGTTTTCTGGCTGGGAGAGCCACATCGTGGACGGAGGAAGAACAGAAACATAAAACAGGATGAGAATCACAGCAAATATTGTTACTGAAGCAAATTCAGATGATGATCTTGAAGATGGTTATTAACAGCATATTTCGGCTATTGTATGAGTTCCAATGCCCTGAAAAAAACTCTGAAGTTTTGAGACTGAGCTCATAAATAAACTAGAAGATACTTGAACATTTCTGAGTTTCCAAAGTAAAAGTTTTTCTATTTTTGAAACTCAGAAATGTCAAAGATTAATCTAAACATTTCTGAGTTTTCTTCAAGCAATTATTTTGTCTTTACACAGTCAGAAGTTTTCAAGTTTCTCCTAGATAATTTCCAGGATTAATCTCAAAATTTCAGATATTTTATTTTTTGCAAATTTAGCCTTCCTGTTTTTCTTTCAGTGCCCCTTACATGCCTCTGTAAAAACCTCATCCACAAAGCTTTAATGACTGGAGAAAAATGAAGTTTTTCTTACAGTTTTAAACTCTTAAAAGGCAACATACCTTACTCCATTCTTCTACTTTAATTCCTCCCATATTTTGCTGAATGACATTGACAATAAGATCTGAAAGAAAAAAAAACAAACAATTTCTTTATGTAAGTGCTTTGAATGTGCAGACTGTTATGACAATAATAAACACTGATTCAGAGACAGTAGAGCTTAAGGTTTGGGACAAGAAATGAAGCTGAAGTGCGGGGAAAAAATCCATTTATCTGCTCACAAACAGACAGGACAGATTACATGGAATCAGTTTTTTTAATATCCGAGGACAGTATTGTGACGGTGTTTCCTCTTCCGTCAAACAGCTGTGTGTTTACTGAGAGCCGCTTAAAGTGAACCAGCAGGACTCCAGCTAGTTCCAGCTGTCCGTGTGTTTACTGTATGTAGGTCAGCTGATGCTAATCCTACCTGCTGAACGTTGACTCACCTGCTCTGTTACTCAGCAGGTAAACTGATTCCTTCACACATACGCTCCAATTAGGACATCTGCTCACAGTTCATCTGCCAGGCGGTTGAAAAAGTGGCAGATGTTTGTTGATGATCTGAAATGATTCACTTTTTATGTTGATTTCCTCTTTTTTTTCTTTTAGAGGGGTCATTATTGTTTCCAGGTATATTGTTCCTTTTCATAGCAAAATCAAGTAACTGTTACATTCAGCAGAAAACAATATAAATATATATAAAATATGACTTAACAGAAAATTGACTTTGTAAATTAACACTTTGAAATTGGGTCTTTGTCTCTTTAAAAACTCTTTCTCTTTCTGAAACTTGTCCTTCAAGAAGTCATCAGATCACTCTTCTATTAACACTTTGACAAGGTTTTTACCAGCGTTTCACTGAGTAGCTGTTCCTATAATGAGCTCAGCAGACATGCAGTTCTACCACCAGGTGTTTGCTGATTTCTGCTGGCTAGTCTGAAGGAGCTGAGTGGGGGAGTTATGAGGGAGGGCTGCTCTGAAACTTGGAAACTGCAGCTCAGAGGAGGAGCTTCGACTTCGAAGTCAGGGCTAGGTACACCCAGGTGTTTTGCACAGCTGAATGGTTACCACTGAAGATTATAGAGTTTCCCAAACATGCATACAAGAATCAATGACACACCTCAGGTATCTTTTTCAAAAGTTGATTTTACATAATACTGTCCCTTTAAATAATTTTTTCAAAAGGTTACTCAGGGACAAATAACTAGTTACTTTCCACCTCCATGTGCTTCTGGAGTCATTTTAGTAAGCTGGGAAAGTTTCATCGTTGTTTTGTGTTTGATCTATTTGTGGATTATGACTCTTAGTGGGGTCTGTTGGAGGACCAAAGCCTCAGAAATGAAGTAACCCTGTCTAGACTCATCTGTCCTTCAGCGTCTTTCAATCAGGACTTCATGTGTTGCATTTTGAGGTCTTACTGCCTGCTTCATGTTGTCAGTCAGGCTCTATTAAAGTGAAATCTACATGTCAGGCAGTATGAAAAGTGGATATGAAAAGTGAAATGAAGTAAAGTTTATTCGTGTAGCACATTTCAGCGACAATGTTCAAAGTGCTTTAGCACTTAGTTATCAATTTAAAAAATAAACAATAAACATTATATTCTGTCAGATGCTATCAACAAAATCATCAATACACATCAAATACATTGATCAATGTTCCAGTTGCAAATCGAAGGCAGCTCTGAACAGGTGGGCTTTTAGCCTTGATTTAAAGGAACTCAGTGTTCAGCTGTTTTGCAGTTTTCTGAAAATTTATTCCAGACTAAGCCAAGAAATGTGATTTGTCACTGATAATTTATAGTTCAAGAAGAAGTTATTTCTTTATATACTAGTTAGAATATTTTTTTTTCACCCTTAGTTGTTTAAATCACCCTTTGAAAACTGACTTTTGTTCACTAAGGTCATCTATGATATTATTAATTTCGTCCATAAAACATTCAAGTGTCAAGAAACCAATTAAATGTTTTATGTTCACCCTTTTTCCTGATTTACCATTAGACAATGTCAAGTTTAATTGAATTATCAGATGTCTTAAATATATCTGTAAAAGTACAGTCCTGAACAGAAACACAGTAAATTATTTAGGTGATTAAATTATTTTACAGCATAAAAAATAACACAGAAGGTGTAAACAAACAGAGCAAGCAGATGGAGGCCAGTTTATCATGTGAACGCTGACACAGCTGTCACCATCAGAGGACTGAAAAGTGACCCAGATTAACCCCAAGGATGCTTAGCAACGGCCTATTCTTACCAGACCCAAGTATTGACACTTTTCTTAACTTACACACAGATTCATCCATCCCGATGGATGACAATAGAATCAGTTAAATCTTTGAAACTTCAACCAGTAACTTCTCAAAAGTGTGAAAAAAACTACAGTGATTCTATTTACAGACATCTGATTTTAGCATTTTGTTCTCTCCGGATGTTCATCGCAGAGCTGGTTTAAAAAATTCTGTCTACTAATTTTATTGACTTGTGAAACTGTTACCGCTAAAATCTGGGAAAATGTTTTATCTTTGAAAAATACCAGAGTTGCATCAATCAACCAGCAGCAGATCCAAATCTGACAATCAAGTCTTCACTGGTGTGGATCTGAGATTGAGAAAATAGTTGCTGTTTTTCTTTTCCTTTTCTCCAAACTCATCAAATTTGAGAATTCCCACCATTCCAAGGCTGTAAACACACCAGCCAAACTCCTGTACCTGGAGGCACTTGCTTATGTCAGAAAACATGAGATGACGTTTAGGAATCATCTGTGCATAAATAGGAATAATTCTACATAACTCCATTTTCTGTTTGATAACAAAACATTCCAGATAAAAAACATTCTGTTTAACAAAATATTTCAAGTGAATATAACTTAATTCTTGGTTGTACTCATCTGAAACAAGGGGAGTAAATTTTGGATAAAAAATTGCTTGATAACTTAATGTATTTAAGTTGAGTCTATGCAAAAAAAAAAGAGTACTTGATTGGCCAACAAGGGATCCCACAATGCATTGTTTCACCACCAACAGCGACTAATTTAACTTCTTTTTATTTGCCACAAAAATTAAATTAAAAATGTTTAAGGTGAAAAGACAGACTCCAAAACTTTGTAAAGATTTGTGTAATTTAAGTAATCACAATATACTCAACTTTATTAAGTTACGCTAACTAAAATTGTGCATATTACTCGTTATTTTTTAAAATTATTTTTAAGTTTTAATTACTTGACTTTTTTTTTATTGACGAGTTTGCATATTTTTTTTAAAGTAAACTGCACTTCTTGTGTTTTACAGTGTACAACCTACATCAAAGAACCTCTAACCAGTACTGGCTATAGCCAGGCTAATCAGGGCGTCTCTAAATACTGTTTTAGCACCTCAGATCAACTTCTGTAAATTCTCCACGATACATTTAATCTCGTCCTAATAAGCCTTTCTTGTGAGTTTAACGAAAAGCAACAGTGGTTTTGGATATTTCTGGGACCATCTGGTTAATCCTCTCAGCTCCATCCACTCTTCAGAGTGAAAACAGATTTTTTTAGCTTTTCTTTGGTTGCTGTGTTGGCGTGCGTTAGAAATTTGTGCCACTGCGGAGAACATGGCAGACGCCGCCGGCGGAAAACGCTGCGGCTTACTCTGCAGCTATGAGCATATCTGAGTGGTGCCGGTGCCACCTTTTGTTGCTCAGCTGCTTAGCTAGTGTAAGCCACGTAGGGGAGTAAAGCTTAGACAGCTTAGTTCAGTGACCCCTTATAAGAGGTAACTACTGTTACAGAAGGGAGAAGAAAGGGACAAACAACCACCAGAATCAGACATGGAAGGTCTGAACGCAGCAGGAACTTGCAGAGCCACCATTTTCTGCAGGTTTTCACACAAAATCTGCCTGCGATCCTTCTTTATGGCTGCCGTATTTCATCACTTTATCAATATCCAGCGTTGTTTTGTAATTAATAGCACACACAGCTTTAATATGTAAATCAGAACCTAAAACCTTCTTACTGCAAAGTATAAAAATAGGCACAACACAATCCTCCACTCTGACCCGCTTGGAGAGATTACTGGGAGGTGTGGACGGAGCCTGATGCAACCTCAGCATCCATATGTAAACTGCAGTAACATCACTCAGCTTCACGTAGCAACAAGAACGCTTCTGAAAACACCTTTCAATGAATTAACAGCTAATAGTCTTCAAGTAAATTATTCAAGTGGTTTTTCTTGTATTGTAGATCCAGCAGAATGAAGTTAAAGACCAGTACTAAGTTAAAAGTGTTTCGTGTTAAAGGTGTTTATGAAAAAAAAATGTTATTGACATATTTGTTTAATTTATCATTATGTCATGACATAATAATAAATTATATCACCAGGCTCCTCTTGTGCCCGGTGCTACCAGTAGCAACCAATCAGAGCCAGGAGGAGGGTCTTTGTGCTGCCAATCACTCTCATGCTCACCCCTCCCACTTGTTCTCTGTCATATTGCAGCTAGTTCACTGCTACATAGCCTACCATGAATGCTAATGCTAGTTAGCATGGCCACTGATGAAAGCAAACAGTTTTCCTGGAACGGTAAATTGTTTCTCCACCATTAGCACATAAATGTCTGCATTCTTCCATATTTTTCCTGATAGAAAATACCGCTGGCTCAGTACTTATCTCTGGCTTTCTCTTTCATGCTGGATCTAGCTGTTGCTGCCTTTAATAAAGCATACTTCCACGTACATTATTTGTTCCCGTTTTTCAAAAAAACTACTTTCAGTCCTGTGTGTTTGTCCCTTCTGTGGACAGAGCCATTATCTTTTACTGCCATCAACTTGATCTGCTATCAACTAACACCTTCTATTTAATTATAAATTGCCCTTGGCTCGATGTTTCCTTTATTAGCTTAATGTTAGAGCTGTTGCTGTCTTTAATTTTGCTCATTTTATTTGCGCTTCTTTCTAATAAAAGGCATTGCTGGCCCAGAGCTCTTGTGCTCTTGTTCTTTGATGGAGCGACTGCTTCCATTAACCCTGACTATTTTTGTTTTTTGTTTCCTATAAAAAGTACAGATGGACCAGTGCTGCTTTTTCCCCCTCCTGCTCTCTGCATCCCCA